CCAGACACTTGCTAAAAATTTAAAGCCAAGTGGCAAGTGGCATTCTAGCCGAGCGCCAGGCACTTAAGCAAGATAAGTGGCAGCTGGCACTATAAGCCGAACGCCAGACACTTGCTAAAAATTTAAAGCCAAGTGGCAAGTGGCATTCTAGCCGAGCGCCAGGCACTTAAGCAAGATAAGTGGCAGCTGGCACTATAAGCCGAACGCCAGACACTTGCTAAAAATTTAGAGCCAAGTGGCAAGTGGCATTCTAGCCGAGCGCCAGGCACTTGAGCAAGATAAGTGGCAGCTGGCACTATAAGCCGAACGCCAGACACTTGCTAAAAATTTAAAGCCAAGTGGCAAGTGGCATTCTAGCCGAGCGCCAGGCACTTGAGCAAGATGAGTGGCAGCTGGCACCATAAGCCGAACGCCAGACACTTGCTAAAAAATTTAAAGCCAAGTGGCAAGTGGCATTCTAGCCGAGCGCCAGGCACTTGCCATAAACAAACACACGGCAAAGCTAATATAAAAGAAAAGAGAGAAAAGATATATGTGTATTGAAAATAAGTTGAACAGAGCACAACACAAAGGGAAAAAGAGTTCTGTAATTTCATTGATATTAAGCATTGAGTTTACAAAAGTGAGATGTCCATCATTACAAAAAGATATGGAATGGAAGAGTCCAAAGGAGCCCTAGCTAGACGCCTCAATACCAGCAGCATCCTGGTCGTGCCGACCCGCCTCCTCGGCCCCATCAGCCGTCTCACCTTCACGAGGTGGGGAATCAAGATGAATGACTGAATCGTTCGGCTGGGGCTCAGCGTCAGCGGTGGCTATGGAAGGTACCACGGTTGACGATTGAGGAGCGGTCAGAGGCAGAGCGGTAGGAGGAGCTGTGATGATCCTTGAGGAAGCAATGTCCTGGCACTCATCGAATATGCGCTCCGCTTCGGTGGGTTCTGGGTCGACATAGACCCCCAGAGGTTCGATCCCTAGATCCTTGTCGACCTCATCTGGAGTGGAACTGGTCTGTCCCTCATCCGGAACTCGGTCGGCGAAACCTTCCCGGAATCCTTGAGCATACCTAAGAGCACCGACCCTTGAAAACCGAGCGTGAAGAGCCAGCATCCCACCGCTCACTCTGCTGATCGCATCGATCAGAGCGGTACGCTCGTCCAGAGCTCTTTTCTCAAAAGCCATCCGAGCAGACTGTTCATCAGCCAGAAGGCGCTGGAGTTCTGCCTTTTCTTCTCTAATTGATTCACGCTCAGTCTGCCAGACGCTCTTTTCAAGCTGGAGGGCGTCCTTCTCATCCTGAAGGGAGTCATTCTCCTTCTTTAGGACATCTCTCTCTTGTTCAATTTTGTCAAGCCGAGCCAGTACCTCGGTATTCTTCATGGCGAGGAGGTCGTTTTCTTTATTAGCCACCTCCAGGCTATCAGAAAACTTACGAGCCCTGGCGTTCCCCATCTCCACCTGCTTCTGCATGGCCATCATTCCGAACAATGTCTGCATAGGTGCACATTAAAAACGGTTAAGCCAATAGTCAGGTCGGGCGAAGGCAAGACCAAATAATATGAGAGAATTCATGAGTTGGAAAATAAAAGTCACCTCCATAGCAGATTGGGGAAAGCGGCTGAACACATCCTTCTGGGATAGGCCCTTTGCCGCCTCAAGGTCCTTCGGAGTCCACATGCTCCTATAGTAGGCCATGGCGGTCTGGCCATCCTTCAGCATGGTCTCGTTCGGTTTCACGAACGTCCCATCCGTTCGGGTGTACCGAGGGACCCATGGCGGTAAGGTGGGGATAGAAGGGGGGCCTGAAGCAGAAGCGGAGCCACCAGCTGCAGTAGGCCCAGAGGGAGCAGGAGCTCTGATCGCACGGTGCAAGAGAGCACCCGGCCCGGAGACCCGGGTCCTTCTAATGAGAGGCTCCTCCTCAGGATCGACTTCACTGTCAGGATGAGGCCTTTTGCCTCGTTCTTTGTCCCGAACGCCCCCCGCAGCAGCAGGAGCTGTGGTAGTTTGGGGAGACGCGCTCTGGTTGGCAGCAGGGGTGCTGGCAACAGAGTTAATAGCCACTGTGCTCGGGACAGTGTCAGAGATGGTGGCTGAGGAAGAGGCTGACGCTGGAGAGGAGGTCGCCCCAGCAGCAGGAGTGGCTGGGGGAGTATTTTTCTTCCTGCCAAAAGAAGGAATCTGAAGCCTGCTCATGTTGTAGCCGAGTGATGAGAGCGCTAAGAGGTTGTCTGAAGTGAGGAGATCTGAGCAGGAAGGAATATCGTTCAGAACGTATTTTTTCAAGTAGTTACTCCTATCCCTGCAAACACTGTAGCTCAAGTCATCACAAGGTATTCCTAAGGAACGGCATAAGAAAGTACAAAAACGGGGAACGCATGTTTCGCAGGGGCAATCATGTTTATGAGATTTGAATTTCTTATAGGAGGAGACAGAACAGACACCAAAGGCGCTCGGGATTGGGTAACCCTCTGCAGCCGGCGAAGACCAAGCCCCACTAATGCCCACGATGCTATCCCTCCAACCCTTTTCAGATTTTATTGTGTCCGTACACATGGACATCTTCTCGAACGGGTAGAGGTGGTAGAAGGGTTCGTTAGTACGGATCTTACTGACCTTATAGCACAGAAGAAGGTCTATAAGGTCAAGGTCCAGATTTCTGTCACGCATCAACAAGAGCATAACGGATATGATTCTAAAGAAGTTGGGGTTGACCTGCAGGGGGGATATCCCCAATCTATTGAAGACATAACTAAAGAAAGGGTGCAGAGGGAACCTAACAACATTCAATTGAAGGTTCGTGAATAAGACTTCGCCGGGCAGGAGGCCGGCGCCGGTCATAATGTTAACGTCCTGAGGGCAAACCCTAACTTCGATGTTGTCAGGAAGTCTAAGTCTCATACGAAGAACATCTAGATCTACAACCATGGTGGAAGTGCTTGAAGGATCTAAAAGGGGGTAAATGGAAGCCTGCCGAAAGTAAAAAGGAACAAAACTAACCTCAGAGGACTGCAAGATCGCTGGAAGAATGACTCTTGAAGGATTTCACCAGGAAAAGCTTAGCACTGTTCTAGAAAGAGAGAGATTTGACTGATGATGGAGACGGTAAAAGGACGTGAAGTGGTATTCTAGAGCATTATAAAGGCGAGGGGGCCCGAGGGCCGAAGCGTCGGGAAGGCGAGAAATTCCTCGAGCCCCGGAACATTGATTCTGGATCTGACCGTCCGTTCCCCCACGTGGTTCTCTCGAGCCGTCAACATCATGATGAGAAGCCATCAATAATTACCCCTTATTAAATAAGGGGCAATTATGGGGGCAGTTGAGGAGGCCCAGGACGACATGGGCCGGATCCGACTTGCAAGCACTGCATTCGGTCCGTACAGCTGGGTCGGCCCATATAAAGACACTGCCATATGGGCCGAACGCGAGTAAGCCCATCAAAGGTGACCAGGACTTATGGAGGAATAGGCCCAGATCCAGCAATCAGTCAATATTTGTAAATATCTTGTAAATATCTATAAATAAGGGAAGGAATGAAAGAGATAGGGAGATCTTTTTGGGTTGAAGTGTAAGAATTCTAGAGAGAGAAAGAGGGAACAAATTTCTTGCATCTTCATGAACTAAATGCACACATTGGTTACCAATTCATCTCCCTCGTAATCACGACATCTCGATGAGTAGAGTCTAGTTACCAGCATCATCATGGTAGCGTCTCTTTATCATTAATATAGGCATACATTATCGCTTCGCCAAATAACGTCGAGATACCCATGCCTGTAAATTTATTGCCGAATAATATGTTGATACGTCAAATTTATATTTGTGGTGCCGAAAATCTTGATCACAGATCGTCAGCGGCGCTCTTTATCTCACTAACGGTTCGCATGCATCGAGCAAGACTTAGATTACTGTCATCAGCACTCGCGGATGATTTCAGCTTTACATGTATTTTCAATGTCGATAGCACCCGTAATGACAATATGTTTCGATATACGAAGTGTAAGACAAGGAGAGAGAGTCGTGTGAGCTTGCTATGTATCGAGTTTGTCAATGTTTAACACTAGCTCCAAGGATCATTTCTTTTCCACCGAGAAATCCTTATACTATTACAACAACTTTCCATCTTTTTGGGTGACTCCTACTTGGCGCAAAATCATGCAAGAGGAAAAACCATGGCAGTCTTAAGTTACTTCTTAATCTGGGTTTCTCGACGTGTAATGCACCAAAATCTCAAACCACCGAAGTCTTGGCAGCATAGATACCATTCTCACCAAACACTTAGGTGTGCTGAGTTTCCAATCCACCGGTCGAGAGTGCATATTTGGCCTGAATAGAGTCTAAAACACTCATCTAGGAAGCTTTCCGTTTGATTTCGGTGGCTTAAGTATGTATACAATTATATATTACACACGTGCCCAGTACTTGAACTATGACAAGTTGATATGCCATTACTAAATGAGCTGTCAGGACCCATGAGAAAAATCATACTGTAAAAGCCATCGCCTTGCACCTAATCTAAAGTCTTTCACGACCATGACTTGGTCTTCATCTCAAAACCTATCATGACCCGATGTGACATCACCAAAGGAGTTAAGAGCTTACTGACTATAACAATTACCACTCAAATAATTGATTAGACAAATTAAATTTATACATAAAAAAGTCAGAAAAAAAAAAAAAAAAAAAAAAAAAAAAATTATCCATTTCGTCGTGGTCAGCCTTAATTTTTTAATTTTCTTGTGATCGCCATTTTAATGAATTGCTTGATTCTTGGCGATGGTGAATTTATTTATTTTTTATATGAAGAAAGATATGACAAGAAGCCTTATTGGTTAGTGTTAAGAGAAGATTTAAGGAGAAGTCATTGTACCTAGGCTTTCGAAGCTCTTAATTAACCATAGTAATAAAATTAAGGTTTGGTAAACCCCACCCATCCAATGGGGATGTTGGACTCCAAAGAAAATTCCAGCACGGAGGGAAAAAAAATTTACCCATCTTACCGTGGATGGCTTAGCGGCATTCCTCTTAGTCTTCTAGCCACCGTCTTCATTAGAAAGTTGATTGATACCCTTCGACAGCGAAGTTTCTTCCTACATGGTTCAGCACAATGCCGAATTTTAAACCTCCATTGATTTGGTAGGGAATATATGCTTTCAACAAAAATGGCTTGAAGCATTACTTGCCCCCTTGATTTTTCAACAATATCATTTTCATTTTCATCTGGATCATAGGAATCAATATTTAGATTCAAATCATTTTGATTGAGAGTTACTTCTTCTAGACTTGAATCATCAAAACTTAATCTTGGCTTCAGGTATAGATGGTCAGTAATATATTCTCTTTCAATGACATTCTCATTTCTCGCAAGCCATGGCAAATAAGGCATTGATCTAAATTTTCGTGACCACATATTTCTTCATCTTCATCAAGATCCAACTCCGAAGTTTGGTCTTGATGAACAATGATATGATCGTTTCCCATGAAGTCACATTCAATCTGACTTTGGTCGTAAGGATCAAGGCCTAGTCCTAAATCTTCCTAACCAAGGACTACCTCATATTCATTTGGCTAGTTAAGACTTAGATCTGATTGTTTGTCTTGAAGATCAATGTTGTCATCCCTTTGGTCTTGACAATTAAGACCTAAATTCAGGTCCTTTCGAACTAAATTCAGGTCCTTTCGACCTAAATCTCCTCTTGCTCCAAATGAGCCGTTAAGACTCAATTTTGAATTTTCGTGAGTGTCATTTTCTTCATCTTTGCCTTTGTCATTATGACTAAGGTCACTTAGACTTAAATTTAGGTCACTTAAGCCAAAATCAACTTGTGCTTTGTCCAAATAAGAGTTATTTAGTCAACCTTCATTTTGCCTCCCACGACCACGAGTCTCAGTCATGACACAAGAGGTACATTGACCATGATGTTTAAGGCCTGGATTCAGGTCTTGAGCCATGCTTGAATGACTTCTGTGTGAATGGCTTTGGCCAAGATTTAGGTCTTTTTTTCTAGCTACACATTTCATTTTTATCATTTGGCCATCATCAACCTTAGGCATAATTATTGTTGGAAGTTCCTTCTCAAATGGGGATTTTAAAACTTTAACTTGCTTATTTAGACCAAAATCGTTTTGACCAGGGTGACTCAGATTATAATTTAAGTTTTCATGGCCAACACAAAGAGATGAACTACTCTCATTGCTATAGTCATTCTTACCAGTTTTTCCATCAAAGATGGGATTTTGAGACAAATACCATATAATAGAACCTAAGGCCTGAAGATATGGGTCTACGGCCTGATTCAACCTACGATATCTTTCTCGCCAAATAGCATAGTACTTGTCTTGGAGGCTTTCGAGCACTAAAATTTGTGCATTTGAGTCAGGGCACGTGGTCATAAGTGAAAAATAAGTCTTACTATTTTTCACAGCCGTCTTATATAACTCTTGACTTAGAAGAAATTAAAGAAAATACATCACTTGACAATGTTCTCCACTCTCAAGATAGGTCCCACCGGGCATGCCAAATTTGTTAGAGATCAAGGGCAGAGACCTTTAAGGATATACAAAAGGCGCAAAAAGGATTGTTACAAGGCTCAAGCCTTAATTCGGCACATGCTAGATGATGGGGTCCACTTGGAGTCTTGCATAATTGGGGGATTTGATCAAATTGCTTAATTGTGGTAGCTTGCTTTACGATCAAATTGCATCAGTCAGTGGTAATTACTTTTATTATGCTAGAGTCAAATATCGATTACCTCAATTATGGGGGAATCATAGAGTCAACTATTGATTACCTCGATTACGGGGTGATTACTTTTATTATGCTATATGGGGTACTCTGGTCATAAGTTGCTATAAGAAGGGTATGATGTAAATTTGGTGAGGCAGTGAATGAATGAAAAATACAAATATATCTTTGAGATTTCTTTGCAAGTGATTCACAAATTTCGAGGTGTGAGGCCTAGGCCCTGTTGGAGTGATTCCAATAAGTAGCTCTATTCTATTTCTTTTCCCTTTGTTTTTCTACATTTTTACTATTAAATTAAACCTACAAATTTCAGCACTAGTTCTTTGAACTGTCAGCCTTTGAATTCTGTACGTCTTTATCTATTTAAGGCTGCGCTTGTGTCCTACATCAAGAGAGAAACGTGATTGAAGAGAGAGAGAGATAAGAGGGAGGAGGAAGAGGTGGTTTCACAAAGGGAGGCTGAAGGTGTGGACTAGCAGAAAGTAGAGGAATTCACAGGTCAAATGGAGTTTAATATTTTCCTTTTTAATAACAAACAAACACCAAAAAAATTAAAATTGTTTTCTGAATAACATCTAATGGCAACAAAATCTAAATATAAATTTTTCTTACATGTCCTTTCTTGGGATGTTTCTTCTCAAACTCCTTTGAATGGCAATTCTATACACAGAAAAATTATTAATGAGTAAATAACCAATATATATATATATATATACACACATATTAACAAGTAAATAACAAAAATAAAAAAATAAAAAGGAGTGATGCATAATGTCACTACCTCTTCGAGTCATTTTTAAAGTCTGCATGCAAGAGCCACTTACAAATTGATTCTCTTAACCTCTCGTATAATTCAGGAAAGACCTTACTAAGTTCAGGCTCTATCTTTTTTTCCTCCAACATCTGCATCAGTGAAAATATTTAGCAAGTATGTGTAATGAGAAACTTTAAAAAATGTTAAAAAAGGAATTTACTTACTTTACCGTACTGTCCCTTGGCCCAGAAAGGGTCATTGCGATGCTTCAAATAATTGTCAAAGAATCTAAATATCGTCAAATACTCAGACAAGCTAGTCACAAAACTTCCCTCACCACCTTCACTACTGCCTCCAACAACACTAGAGGTACTTCCCTCACCACCTTTACTATTGCCTCCAACAACACTAGAGGTACTTCCCTCACCACCTTTACTATTGCCTCCAACAACACTAGAATTATCAGCTCCTAATATCTTATTGTTTTTGCTTCGGTTTTTAATATTACTTGATGAACCGATTGCAACCTTTTGGCCCTTCTCTTGCTGCTGCCTCTTTTTCTTCTGTACCCAGTCATAAGTCTCGCGCATGTGTCCCAAAACCTCAGCTAATCGACTATCACCAGGGAGATTTTCATGCCACATTCCCATATAAAAGAAATCTTGAAAACTATCATCTATGGTTTTGCTGGAAACTAGTTCAGAAAACACTTCTATAAATTGAACTCTCTCTGACGCGGTCCAAAGAAAGGACGAATCCAATAGGAAGGCGGGGTCTACCAGGAACAACCCATTTTCTCCGCGTTTTCTGTCATATATAAACACTTAGCAGTGCACATTTAATTATAAATAAAACACAATTTTTAAAAATCAGAAGTTTCACTTACATGTTAGACGGATCCAAAAGTTCCATATATTTCAACAAGGGTTTGGGTAAAATATCCTTGAAATCAGAATCATCGGTTATCTCAGTAATCTCGAAAGGGAAGCCAATAATTTTTTTCATCATATTTTTCAAACTCACTATATCCTTAGCTATCCCTTCTGGGTGACTCGGAGCATTTTCAAAACGCATAATTACCAGTTGAAAATCACCTTGCTCGGACACCATCACATTATTATCCAAATCACCGTGATATGTATCGTGACAGTACATCGTTACTAATGCCCCCGCAACAGTTCTAAGATTAACATGAATATTATCATTAACAAAATAAAGCAAAATAAAGCAAAACATAGCACTAATTGATTAAAGTTTCATACCTAAAGAGTTCCTTAAACTCTTTTTCGAGGAACGTCCACCAACTTTGTTTCTTTTCTAGCAATGTCTCATTTTTGTGTGCTGACTTGGATTTCTTCCAAATAATTGACTTTTCTGTGACCCATTGGTTTAAAGTATGATGAACCAAATTTAAGTCAGCGAAATGGGGAAGTATGAAAGGTTGTGATCTGGAACATTCCATTGCGTCAAATATACTTTTCTTTGCAACATTTCCAGGACAGGCAAACACTGTCCCCGGTTTACCGATAAAGATTACTTTATCATCATACTCGGGAAGCTGAGCAAACTACAATATGAAAACAAATTATAAGTGAATTAGCCAATAATACAAAGAAAATCTAAAAAATGTATAAAAATATACATTAATAACAATATTCCTTGTTGCTAAGTAAGTCTCACCCGATCAAGCTGCTTCTCCTCTGTGTGGTGTTGTGGCTCTTCCTTTGGCAACCCGGGCACTGGCTCTTCCTTTGGCAACCCGGGCACTGGCCCTTCCTTTGGCAACCCAGGCAATAGTTGTGGGTTCGACATTGGATGAAGTCTCAGCAGTTCATCTATAATATGCTTGTTACTTTGGTTGCTATGCCAACGAAAAATTTTGTTGCCTATCAATTTCAGAAAGGAAGCCGGTTCCTTAGTATTTTCCTTCTCCTTGAATTCGGACAGCATGGTATCCAATTCACACATGCTTCTCCGGTCTCTTTCTCCTGATTCTGTCTGACTCTTCCACAACTTCTCCAATTCATTTCTTCTATTCATTATCGAGATCTTAAGCTTCTTGTCGACATCTAGGGACATAGACATGCTCTCCTCATGCCCTAACAAGGGTTGGTGTACCTGTTTCTCCTGACTTTGAATCAAAAACTTGATTTTTCGCAAGAATAGTATATATCTAGACACTGAGTCTTGTGTGACCATTTCTAAACCATCTGGTAGTTTGCTTTTCCATTGGGCAATACTTTGCTCCACTACCTCAACAATTATGGTAGCATCACTATTCTCTGGTAGAACTGTGGGTATGATATTCTCAAATGAAACTCCCTTGTTCTTCTTCTTATGCTCTAATGCAATTATTCGAATTACTTCAATCCAATTTTTCACCAGAAAATTTAAAAATGCAGGGTCAGGATCATTACCACAAGTAGCACATAATTCTTTGAATCTTCTGTTTATTAGCATGACAGCTTCATTTTCCTCATCCACCATCCTCTCAGCTTTATTTTCCTCATCCACCATCCTCTCACCTTCATCCACCATCCTCTCAGCTTTATTTTCCTCATCCACCATCCTCTCATCAGTTCCGCATCCCTCCTCCAACCTCCCCGTCATCCTTCTTGTCTTCAATTTCAATTTCGGCTTCAGGGGTGTGAATTTCTTCTGTTCATGTTTGCTTATCCATTTTGTAAGTTTATCGATCTCCCTGTCTAACCTTTCTTTTTCTTCTTTGACCTTCCTCTGCCCTGTTTCGTTCAACTCAATTATGAAGTCTAGTTGTCTTTTCACATCTCTTCTAACATAATATCCATCAGTACCCACAACCGCATCTTTAAATTCCAGATAAACTTCAAATAGTGCTGTTAGGACTTCTGATGTAGTCACATTATCCGTGGAAACAATTTCCTATTTTGATCATATGATTTTAGATCTGGAATAGCTACTGACCAAGACGTGGGGTTGGATGTGGAGGGACAGAAACAGGAAAAGAATCAGGGATCGGCGATCTCTCAAAACATGGAGATTGGAACTCCATCTGTAACTCAATCGGAAAACGATAGTAGATCTGTGATAGCTACTGTTCATGTTTGCTTATCCATTTTGTAAGTTTATCGATCTCCCTGTCTAACCTTTCTTTTTCTTCTTTGACCTTCCTCTGCTCTGTTTCGTTCAACTCAATTATGAAGTCTAGTTGTCTTTTCACATCTCTTCTAACATAATATCCATCAGTACCCACAACCGCATCTTTAAATTCCAGATAAACTTCAAATAGTGCTGTTAGGACTTCTGATGTAGTCACATTATCCGCCACTGGAAACAATTTCCTATTTTGATCATATGATTTTAGTTTCCTTAAAACTCTCAACCATTGGTCAACTAGAATTTGAGGACAGCCATCATCTCTGTTTTTCCATTGTGCCCTGACTTCCTCAAACCTAGAATTAAGACGATTTACAACTTTCTTCGACGCCTCTTTAGAATACGACGCAGCTTCCTCAGTAGCTATCACAGATCTACTATCGTTTTCCGATTGAGTTACAGATGGAGTTCCAATCTCCATGTTTTGAGAGATCGCCGATCCCTGATTCTTTTCCTGTTTCTGTCCCTCCACATCCAACCCCACGTCTTGGTCAGTAGCTATTCCAGATCTACCATCATTTTCCGATTGATTACCAGACCGCCGATCCATTATTCTTTTTCTTTTTCCGTCCCTTATTCCTATTTTTAGCCATGATTGTGGGTGGGTGAAAACTGTTGCGGCGGGGAGGTTATGTTGAAAGTGAGAACCGTGCGACGGCGGTAGGGTTTTGTGAGAGAGAGAGTCTCATATAAGTCTACAGCTTTCTACTGAAATTTGCTTCTTCCGTTTTTTTTTTTTTTTTTTTTTTTTTTTGACAAATAACAATATTTTATATAATATAATATTAGTAATAATAATTATAATCATATATGTGATTAAAAATCATATAAAATCGTAAATATTATAAATATATTAGTTAAATAAAAATAATTAAAACATATACATAGTAGAGACACAATTTATTTTTTTTAGAATTCCAAACTGAGCAGGACTTAACAATTATAATAATTGCTAAGAAAATAGTTAATGTAAACTAATTCATAACTCATGCAAACTATTGTAAATATAAGTATACATATAATGTATATCTATATCTAAACTATTATTAAAAGTGTAAAGAGTTTCAGTATTTATTTATTAATATAAAAAATATATTTATTTATTATTAAAATTGTAAAGAGTTTAGTATTTCAGTATTTATTTAATAATATAAAAAAATTATTTATTAATTACCTATTAATTACAAATTTTTAAATATAAAAAAAAATCTAATTAGACAGAAACTCTAACACAAATAATCTATTTATCTAAAAAATTTAACACAAATTACCTATTTATCTATTTATTGTGAATTTTTTAATAAAAGAAAATTTAATTAGACAAGAATTATTAATATAAAAAAATATTTATCAATTGACATAAAAAGATATTTTCTATAAAACTCTAACACAAATTACCTATTTATCTATTTATTAAGAATTACTAATGTAAAAAAATATTTATTAATTTATATAAAAAGAGAATTTTATAAAATTCTAACACAAATTACCTATTTATCTATTTATTATGAGTTTTTTGATAAAAAAAAAATCTAATTAGACAATAATTATTAATATAATAAAAAATATTTATTGACATAAAAAGAGTTTTTAAAAAAAGTTTCTATAAAACTCTAACACAAATTACCAATTTAACTATTTATTATGAGTTTTTTAATAAAAAAAATCTAATATATTTAAAGAAAATAAAATAATTTCTATAAAATTTTACCACAAATTACCTTTTTTATTTTTTATAAAACTCTATCACAAATCTAACACAAATTACCTACTTTATCTAAAAACTCCAACACAAATTACCTATTATCTATTTATTATGAGTTTTTTAATAAAAGAAAATCTAAGAGTTTTTATAAACCCTAACATAAATAACCTATTCAAATATTTATTATGAGTTCTTTAATATAAAAAAATCTAATCTATTTAAATAAAATAAAATTACCTCTATAAAACTCTACCACAAATTATTTATTTTATTTTCTATAAAACTTTATCACAACTCTAACACAAATTACCCATTTTTCTAAAAACTTTAAAACAAATTACCTATTTATCTATTTATTATGAGTTATTTAATAAAAGAAAATATAATTAGACAATAATTATTAACATAAAAAAATATTTATTAATTAATATAAAAAGAGAATTTCTATAAAATACTAACACAAATTACCTATTTATCTATTTATTATAAGTTTTTTAATAAAAGTAAATCTAATTAGACAACAATTATTAACATAAAAAAATATTTATTAATTAATATAAAAAGAGTTTGTAAAAGAGTTTCTATAAAACTCTAACACAAATAACATATTTATATATTTATTATGAGTTTTTTAATAAAAAAAAATCTAATATAGTTAAAAAAATAAAATAATTTATATAAAACTCTACCACAAGTTACTTACTTTATTTTAAGTATTTATTATTAAAATAAAAAATATTTATTAATTAATATAAAAAGAGTTTTTATAAAACTATAACACAAATTACCTATTTATTTATTTATTATGAATTTTTAAATAAAAGGAAATATAATTACACAAGAATTATTAATATAACAAAATATTTTTTCATTGATATAAAAGAGTGTTTCTATAAAACTCTAACATAAATTATCTATTTATCTATTTATTATGAGTTTTCTAATAAAAAAATACAATTAGACAATAATTATTAAAATAAAAAAATATTTAGTAATTGATATAAAAAGTTTTTAAAAGAGTTTCTACAAAACTCTAACACAAATTACCTATTTATCTATGTATTATGAGTTTTTTTATAAAAAGAAATCCAATATATTTAAAGAAAATAAAATAGTAACTATAAAACTCTACCACAAATTACCTATTTTATTTTTTATAAAAATCTATCACATTAGACAATGATATATTTAAAGAAAATAAAATATAACGCATGGTCCTCCCAAAAACCACAAACTCCATACAATAAATTTTTATTTCAGTATTTATTTATTAATATAAAAAATATTTATTAATTAATATAAGTTGAGTTTTTAAAAGAGTTTCTATAAAACTCTAACACAAATTACCTATTTGTCTAAAAACTCTAACACAAATTACCTATTTATTTATAAACTCTAACACAAATTACCTATTTATCTATTTATGATGAATTTTTAAATAAAAGAAAATATAATTAGATGATAATTATTAATATAAAAAAATATTTAGTAATTGTTATAAAAAAGAGTTTTTAAAAGAGTTTATATACAACTCTAACACAAATTACCTATTTATCTATTATGAGTTTTTTTATAAAATAAAATATAATACATTTAATGAAAATAAAATAATTTCTATAAAACTATACCACAAATTACCTACTTTATTTTATATAAAACTTTATCACATTAGACAATGATATATTTATAGAAAATAAAATAGAACGCATGGTCTTCAAAAAACCACAAAATATATACAATAAATATTTATGTCAATTTTAATTTAATGCATGATTCGTATAATGGAATTTCTATTTTATTATGATTTTTTTAATAAAAAGAAATCTAATAAGACAATAATTATTAATATTAACTTAGTATTTATTTATTAATATAAAAATATTTATTAATTAATATAAAATGATTTTTTAAAAGAGATTCTATAAAACTCTAACATAAATTACATAAATTACCTATTTATCCAAAAACTCTAACAAAAATTACCTAATTATCTATTTATTATGAGATTTTTAATAAAAGGAAATATAATTAGACAGTAATTATTAATATAAAAATATATTTATTAATTAATATAAAAAGAGAGGATTTCAGTATTTATCTATTAATAAAAAAATTATTAATTAATATAAAAAAAGTTGTTAAAATAGTTTCTATAAAACTCTAACACAAATTACCTATTTATCTAAAATCTCTAACACAAATTACATATTTATCTATTTATTATGAGTTTTTTAATAAAAGAAATATAATTATACCATATTTATTAATATAAAGAAATATTTATTAATTGATATAAAAAGAGAGTTTCTATAAAACTCTAACACAAATTACCTATTTATTTATTTATTATGAGTTTTTTAATAACAGTTATATCAATTATTAAGAAATATTTAATAACACAAGTTGATATTTTTTTATAATTGATATAAAAAAATATTTATTATGGTATAATTCTTGCCTACTATCACAGTTACACCAATCAACTCCTATAAAGGTAAATTATCATACATATTGAGATTATTTGCATTATATTATTAAGTAAATTTATAATAACAAACTTTTACAAATAACAACTTCTTTTACATTATATATTCATAAAGTTACATGTAATGTGTTTAGGTAAAGTGAATGAATAATCTTCATTAAATCGAATTTTATTTTTTTGCTTTATTGATTCTTGTTCTTCTAAAGATTCACAAGTTTTTCTTTTTCTTGTTTGAGTTGTTTAAGATTGATTATGTTATTTGAGGTTGTACAATCTTTTATTTGAGCATCTTCATATATAACTAAACCTATATGTCAGATGATCTGTGTTGTTTATATATATATTATAGACTTGTTGGTGTAAAATCTACCATATTTGTAGAAAGGGAACATGTTTTCCTGTTTTTTTTAATTACTTTACAAGATAATTTATATGTGGACAGGTGCAAAGAGAACATAAATAACAAAGATATAATAATTACTAAAGATCAAAAATTCAATAGTGTTGAAAAAATCAAACTTCAAGACATAATTGAAAAATCTACAATGTCCTTTGAGGTATTAAATTTTACTATATTTCTTAATCTTCCTTAATTATGTATCACATTATTATAATCAATTTAGATCAAACTTCAAGACATAATTGAAAACGAATTACTCTTTCAAAGCAACAATTGAAAAGGTTGTTAATGATCGCGAACCGTGTGTGTAAGAAATGCAACAAGAAAATTTAAGTTAAAAATACGACGCGTGTGAGAAACAACAGACCCAAAATGCTTTCAGAAATATTATTATATCTTAAAACCTTATTATTATGTTTATTTGAATGGTTTTATAATATTACAGATTAATGAATATTTCTTCTTACTTATATGCAGATTCATGATGATAATTAAAGTGCGAAGTATGGAACATATTGCAACACTAACAATGTTCAATGATTTTCAAACATTAATAAATTGTTCATTAGATGATTTATTACGATTACAAATTGATATACTTTTCCACCATTATTCACAAAATTTTAATTAAATAAAAAATAATAATTACTTGAATTTATCAATAACTCTAAACTATATTGTTTTTTAATTTTTGCAGGACATAGATGAATTCATCAACAACAAAGTAACAAGTTGCAAAGGAAAATCTTTTTTTTTTTATTTTTTTGGTGAAGATAAACAATACTCAACAATAAGTCGTGAAAAGTTAGTTTGCTGGAATAATTTAAAGAATCGACACTTGACAATGATTCATTTGAGAAAGAAATGAGATATACAAAAAAACATAAAGACTTAGAAATAAATAATTTATGCTCCGTTAGGTAGGAAGGAAAAAATAAATAAATAAATTAATTAATTAAT